TGGTTTCAAGATCATACAGCTTCCAACCCTTTTTTCCCAAACGGATATCCCACAAAGATGCACTTCCGACTCTTACTAGCAAATTTATCGTCTTTTGCTTTAACACAAATTGTGTTGTAAGATGGAGGACTACCAAAAAGAATTTCATATGAACTTTTGTTATCAAGCAACGGTATTGGTGTCTGATTGATCAGATGTGCGGCCTCAAGAACACGTTCTCCCCAAAAATAAATTGGCAAACTGGCTTGGAATCGCAAAGCTCTCGCTACATTGAGAATATGTTTATGTTTCCGCTCAACCCTACCATTTTGTTGAGGAGTTCCCACGCAAGAAGTTTGAAATATAATTCCAGTGGCAGAAAAAAAATCATGCAAGCAATTGAATTCAGTACCGTTGTCACTTTGAACAACTTTGATTGATTGAGAGAATTGTCTATCAATCATAGCCACAAAAGACAAAAATATTTTGAGAACCTCAGTTTTATCAACCAACAAACAAATCCAAACTGCTCGTGAATAATCATCTATTATAGTCAAGAAATAACATGCACCACAAGAGGATTGATGTTTGTAAAGACCCCACAAATCACAATGTATTTTCTCAAATATATGAAATGCTCTATTATTACTGGAAACTTTTCTCTAGGTTGCTTAGCACGAAAGCAAACCTCACAAGCTTTATTAAAACTTCCCACAGTGCCAACCGAGGGAAGTAACTTTACCACTTTTCAGATGGATGACCCATTCGCTAATGCCAAAGATTAATTGAAGTTGTCACACCATTTACTGTAATATGTTGCACTGAATCGGTTCCCTTGAAGTAGTAAAGTCCATCATGTCTAACACCCGTTCCAATCAGCTCCCTCGATTGGTCATGTATAGCACCCATGTGAGAGTGAAAGTGGACACTGCTTTGCATACTATCATTTAACTAAGAAACCAAAATAAGATTGTAACTTAAAGATGGAACATAAAGAACATGATTAAGAATAATTTTTTCTGTTAATCGAACCGAGCCTTCTTGAGTTGCAACCATTGTTTGTCCGTTGGGTAAACCAACAGGGCAGTGAAATATATCTTTTGTATCAATCATCCGAGTGGAATCACCAGTAACATGACGAGAGGCTCCTGTGTCAATTATCCACAATCGTGTATCAAACTTACCATTCAATTGTTCATAAAAAACCTTTGTACTACTAATTAGCCCTGTTAATGCCTTCCATTGTTCCGGTGAAAACAAATGAGATGAGGGAACTCCACAGCTATCAGTGTGCTTTTTGGTTAAAGTGGCATTGGCACGAGGAACACCTCTACCCCATCCAATGCGTCCTCCGCGCGCGTTGTTGCCACGATTCTAATAGCAATCTGGATAGCCATGTATTTCGAATCATTGAGATACGTCATGGCCAAATTTCTTGTAGTGAGTACAAGAGAGATGAGATTTGTCTGGTTTTTGAAAGCGATTACAACCCTTGCCAGAACCAGTATTTACAGCAAAACTCATAACTTCTGGTGACTTGTCTTCGGAGACCGTAATTGAGCGAATTGTATCTTCTTGAAGTACCATTTGATAAGCACGGTCAAGAGATAGTAATGGGTCTATGGACAGAATATTAGTGCGAACTTGTGCATAATACTCTGAACAAAGACTCATTAAAAACTGATGTAGCTTGCCATTTTCCCGTCGTGCCTCATGTTCATTGCCGGCGGTACAAGAGACACAACATGAACATTTAATAATAGGCTCATGGGTATGTTATTCTTCCCATAGCGCTGACAACTGGCCAAAATATGTGGACACATACATATTTTTAGACTGCTCACATTTAACAATAGATGACTTTAATTGTTGAATGCGTGGCCTATTAGTCACTGCAAATCTTTTCTTGAGAGTATCCCATAACTTTTTGGCATCCCTGTATCTAGCAAGAGAGCGTTTTACCTCATGACTAATGGTGTTCATTAGCCAAGAAATAAGCATAACATTGATTGTGGTCCAATTCGACTGGGAACAATGTGGATTAGGTCCAATGATCATTCCATTAAGGAAATCAAATTTTCGTCGTACCTCCAACGCCGTTTGTATGTCAGCAGCCCAATCATTATAATTGTTTCTGATCAAACGAGTCGGGGTTATGAAATCACCCGGTTGATCTTGAGGACCAAGGTAAAAGGAAGAGTTTGGTTCAATTTTGGGTTGAGGTTGGGGATGCGTTGCCAGCGGTTGGTTGTCGTCGACCATTATTGATGAGTTTATACGCAGGTATAAACCTTAGCGACTGATACCATGTAGAATACAAACAAACAAGAAGAAGAGGGAAAATTGATACATTATCTCTTGAGTGTAAACCTCAATACAAGTACTCTATTTATAGTGCCACCAAGATATTTAAAATAAATACAAATGAGAAAACAAAGAGACATGGGAAAACAAAGAGATGGAAAATAAAGGGATGGAAAACAAAGAGATACAAGATGATTAATATAGATGATTAATATCTTTGAAATATCTCAACAAAATGTTATATCATACTTTGTCTCTAATTGCTACATACCAACTTCCCTTTCTCCCTTCTTTAGCCTCGTCATTTTCAAGCTAGTTTCTATTAGTTGCTTCCTACCCTGTTTCTATTAGTTGCTTCCCACCCTTGCAATTTTTTTCCTTTTAGGTTTCTAAGTAGAAATTCGGTATATCTATATATATACCGAGTATATAATAACAGAAGTGTCTGGCTAAGTTTTTCTATACAAACTCAGGGTTATTTTAGTACACTAGTACATAATCAGTCATTTGCGTCCAAAGTAAAGTACAATTTGCGTCCAAAGTATAACAGACGCATATGCAGGAGACGCAGATTGTAACAATCTGCGTCAAGGTAAACATTTTGTTTTAGATTAATTGTGTGTTATTGTATAAGTATCAAATTCTTTAGTTAGTTTTACGTAGTAAATTATTTCATCTAAAAGAAATAACTAAATAATTTAAAATGAAATGTATTATTGAACTTTTATCACACAATGACAATTTATACATAATTAATTTTTTTATTAAACATTTTGTTAAATTTGGTCATATACATTATTTTATTTACTTATATACTTTAATTTGATACTTATCAAATTATTTTTTGTTCATTAATAATAATATTATTTTTATAATTTTTCACTTTCATTTTTTATAAACATAATACACAATACACATTTTTTATATACATATACAATAACACACAATTAATCGAAACAAGAAAATGTCTAAAATGTATTATACAACATTTTTATCACACAATAACAACTACATATATACATAATACACAATCTTTTTCTATTAAACTATCACAACAATACCTAACATATAAAATAACACACAAATAATTTAAACTAAAATAAACAACAATAAAATTTCTAAAATATATTACAAATAAATAAAATTAAATTAAAAAATAAAAAAAATATGTATACATACCTTCGGAGGACGACTGGCGCCGGCGGCATGGGAGGGGGACTGGCGGCGACCTTGCGACAAGGATTGGAGATCGATGGCAGCGGCGACGGGGCTGGAGACCGGCTGCAATGGATGAAGAAGATGTGGGGAGTATCGTGGAATAGAGGGGAAGACCGGCGGTAGCGAGGAGTGGAGAAGATGACAGAAGTGTGGCGAGCGTAAGAAAAGACGACGACGGAAGTGTTGTGGGGGTGTGGAGAAGACCGGCGGTGGTTGTGGAATATTTTTTGGAGGCTGTGGGGAAGAAGACGTACAGGGGTGGTTTTGTTGAGAATAACCCTAACAATATGCGTCCGATGTTAGGAACACTGGACGCATATTGTATTATCGTGTTACCTATATGTGTCCGTTGTGCGAGAGCTTCAGACGCATATAATTCTTATAAATAAGCAACCCCATAATCTACGTCCAAAGTTCCCAAATTTCGAACGCAAATTGTTTTTTATTTCAAAAAAATAATAATAATTATATAGTGATATTTTAATTACAAATATACCACCGCACCCCACTTTACGCGTTCGATGTTTAAACTTTGGACGCAGATTCCTAGATTTTTTTGATCATTTTTGTACTAGTGGTAATATGGACAAAAATATCATTTAGAATAAAAAATTAAAAACTTGAAGTAATTTATTAAATACAATCAAAACCGTAACTGTGATTATGATTTTAATTCATCCTTTCTGGCCCGCTTCAAACAAAATGAGAAAAAAGGGTCCGGTCAATAGCATAGCTCTTTCTTTCCCGGGTCTCCTTTCGAAGGAGAGGCATTTGCATTCCTAATTCGGTAGGGTCGAACGGCTTTGTTTGCCCCAGCTTGGCGAATCACATCCCCGCACAATGACATTGTTTGTTTGTACGCTCCTTACCGTTCTTGCTCAGTGTTTCAACGGTTGGGAAGGCAGTCTACGAAATGAAGCCAATTCCCACGCTGACCATCAAATAGAGATTTGGGCCCCTTCTCCAAGATTTGATGGACAATCATTATTGTGTGGACCATGGTCCACACAAGTTGTGTGGACCATATTTTGTCTACTATAAAACAATGTACATACAATACAAAAATAATGCACATTCAGTACAAAAATAATGTACATTGTATTCAGGGGATGTACATTATTTTTGTTCTGAGTGTACATTATATTGTACAATGTACATTCAGTACAAAAATAATGTACATTTAGTATATTAAAAATGTACTTTTTATTATAGTCCACATAACATTGTGTGGACCATAGTCCACACATTAATTTGCTTTTGACGGAATGGCTCAGCCCAAAAAAGAAAGGTTATAGTACACGATGCGTTCTGATGAGTCACCTTTACAACCATCTTCATCTTCTCCATTTGCATATGGCGTTTTCATGATGGTAATAATTATAATTATTATATGGTAATAATAATACCGAATTCGGTATATGGTAATAATAATACCGTCTAACTAGCGTTTAGCGCATAGTGCAATCATGCTTGAAATAACATAATATTAATTCATCTGCCTTAGCTTTTCTTGAATATAAAACTGTCCAACTGTTATATATTGACTATAATTCCCCTAAAGAAAACAAAAGAAAAAAAAAAAAACCTCCATTTAACTTCTAGAAATGCCAGAAGTGAAACAAGAGACCCACAATTTGAATCTTAATACTATTAAAAATTGAACAATAAGACTCGTGATTTGGATCTTAACTCTAGAAAATAATGCATGCAACTAATAACAAATAATACAAGTTACTGCCAACCAAACACCTCTATTGTTTACTTAATTATTCTATAACCACTAGAGATTAAATTTAAGTACTCAGCAATTAATTATTGGTTATATATATATATATATATATATATATATATATATATATACACACACACACACACATTAGTAATTATTGATTTAACACTTAATTTTGAATTAAAAAATCTATTATTTATCAGCAACACTTAATTTTGAATAAAAAAATCGATTATTTATTACCACCGGGTTCAATTCTATGATCACCCATTTACAATGGTAACAGATTAGGTGTGTCATCATACTACATAATAGTTGGCATATCACTATATTTGTTAATTCTTACTCCGTATAAATATAAAATTTTACATTTTATTTAAAATTAAATTAAACTTTTTTTATTTTTTATTTTATTTTATTTTTTTGGAAGAACTTTTTATATTATATCTTCTCCCAAAAGGTTGAATCCTCAACCCTAAGGGCCCCCACACTCCGACCCGACAGAGCATGTGGGATGGGCAATTTATATCGTGCACCAGGGCGCGCATTGCATTGTGCGCCCTGATGCAGAACGACGTCGTTTCACATAACTGTATAAAAAAATACACATAATTGTATAAACAAATACATGTAATTGTATAAACAAACACACATAACTGTATAAAAAAATACACATAATTGTATAAACAAATACACATATTGTATATATAAACAAATACACATAATCACGTCAACTCCCTACCGCGCTTCCCAAAACGACGTCGTTTTGGGAGGCGCGAGACACACAGTGCTATGTGCGCCATGGTGCAGGGTATAACAATTGTGTGGGAGGATGTAATCACGGTGACTCAATGGTTCAACATAATTATATCTTAAAATACTAGTAGGATATTTTAGTATGAACGATATACTTTTAAAATTTGTAACACTATCAACAATAGTTTAAAAAAATAATTTTTAACAATTTTCACAAAATTTAAACTAACTAAAACATAATTAAAGATTATTCCTTGAACAAATGGGATTAGAATGTAGCCGACAATTTCTGTAATACAGAGTACTAAGTTAATAATTAGAACAATAAATTTGAGGAGAATAATAATTGTGAAAGAATAAATTGTTATTAAATACTCCTAAAATATACAGTATACATAAACGATTATTTAAATGGATAAAAAGAGTTTCATTCAGAATATGAATAATAAATAAAAATATTTCTTCTCCCAAAATGATAATATTCCTAATAATATAAGAAGAGGGAAAATGAATTCTAATTTACCTATAAGAGTCCAAAGCTAATAAGGAGAGTAATCTTGAAGGCTATTAAAGGAGATATATATAGAGCCATCCGCCATCGGCAGCACAAAAGCAGCACAAAGTCAGACTATCGTCAACTGAGAGCTATGGAGTTGGTTGGTGATGATGCCAAAATCGGTGTTGGTTTCCCCCTACCGCAATCGCACCCTTGGCTCTTGTTTTGTCAAAATAAACAAGGTACACTATACAGTTTCACACAACAACGTTATTACAAGATTGATTATTCTTTCATGTATAATAAGTATGAGAGGGCTCACGCATGTAAGGATGGATGGATGGTGCTACACGATTGCGATGACACTTTCGATATCATACTTTTCAATGCTTATTCACATGAAAGGGTGCAACTTCCAAAATTAAAATCAGTCACGTATTTGGCTTACCTTTTGTCTAGTCCTCATGATCCTTCTTGTTATGTTGTATTAATTGAAGAGTATGACGACTTTGGCATGCTTTTCAATTTTTGCAAGATCGGTGGACAAGCATTTGTGAAGCAGTTATATCCGGATAGAATAATACAATCATTCACAAGTTTTGGTGGACATTTGTATGGGTTGATGAAATATTCCACCACATTAGTACGTGTAGAATTCAATGATCAAAGTGCACAATTTCAAGAAGTGATCAGTGGTGATTTATTTTGTGAGCCATCTTCAAGACCAAAATGGAGTGGTCAAGATGCTGTTGGTTATATTACAGAAAATTGTGGTGAAATCCTATTAGTTACTAAAATTTACTTTGCAAAAAGGCGTTGCATGGTAGAAAATATACGAGTCTTTAGAGCGGATTTGTATGCAAGAAAATGGGTGGAGATGGAAAGTATAGGAGAGCGTACCATTTTCTTAGGATATATTGGAGGCATATTTTGCATTAACAGCAATAATGCAAATGTGAGAAATAACTGCATATACTTCATTGAAGAAAATGACAGAAACATGTATGTTTTTGATTTGGAAGATATGAGTGTTTCCATCAACCATCCTTGCCCTCATGTAGGCAATAAAAATATTATATCACGATGGATACTATGATTATGTGAGTTGTTATATATATATTTTTTAATTCAAATATTGAATAATAATTACATTTATATTTTTGGTTTGTATTTCATGAGGGCAAGGAAAAATATATTGAATAATAAGAAATATGTAATTTTTTTTTAGTTGTTTCAAACACTCATTTTCTAGGCTTACTTTGGCCACAACTTTCAGGATTTTCAAAAAAGCATCATCTAATGTTACATGTAATAAGCCTAAATGCTTTGTTTCAATTCATCCATATATATGCATTCCAAAGTTACCTACAAATCAATATAAAATTACATGCTACCTGCATATATATAACAATTTGCATTTTCCCTAACTAGCTAGTTACAACGAACATACTATTTGTTGGTTACCCTTTGACAATAAATTAAAAAGCGAAATTATTCATATTTTCAACAATATTAAATTCTTAAACCAAAACGTGGATAAGTTGAAAATCTAAATTGGAACTTAATTGGTCAGCTCAGAGAAGAAATACAAAAACAAGATATCGATTTTAAGAACATATTACAAGGTCTTCGCCTCCGGCCAGGGACGAAGATGTCTCCGACCATAGAGTCTCCATGGTCGGAGATGATCTGATCTGTTTTTTTTTTTTTTTTTTTTTTTAAATTTAAATAATTATTTTAAATAATAAATATTTTAAAAATATTTTAAATTAAAGGTGACCTGCTAACAACCTAGAAAATTTGTATGCAGTTCGATGGCCTATTTGACATTTATTCTTTAAATATTTAATATTGTTTAGCATGTTAACTGCCTTTATTCTTTAAATATTTAATATTGTTTAGCATGTTAACTGGTCAAATGGTTTGACCCATTCAGATGGGGTCGAACTAGGGCTAGGCACTTCGGGTTTCGGGTCGGGCTTTTTCGGTTTCGATTTTGATTTTTCGGTTTTAAAAAAATTAAACCATTCGGTTTAAAATAGAGTTCAATTTCGGTTTGAAATATTCGGATCGGTATTCGGTTCGGTTTTGGTCGAAGTCCACTAAATAAACGTTTCCTTTTTTACTTGCCCGATTGTTTAGTTGGCTCACTTGGAGTGCCCCTTGAAGTGTTTTGTTGATGACAATATAAAGAATCATCCGTCTATAGTTAATATTTGAAAAATAAGAATTATTAAAATGCCAAATGTTGAGACTTACGACTTAGAGTTGAGATCTGAGGACTTGAGAAGTTAAAATTATTAATTATTATAATATGTATATATAATACTAGCATTTTGTACGAGTGATGCGCGAAAATTTATGCCCAACATTAAAAAATTGATAAATGAAAATAATTACAAATTATAGTTCAAATTATATTTCGCAAAATTCATAAATTTAGTAAATTTTAATCATCATATTTGAAAACTATAGAGATGAACAAAATTGATATTTTGTTTATTAATAATGTAAATAATTTTGATATAATTTATACTTTGTTTTTACAATAAATAAATAAAATATATATAATACTAACTAGTAACCGGTCACATATATTGGTGCGTGTGCGTGCCTATATATATATATATATATATATATATATATATATATATATATATATATATATATATATAGATATATATATATACACACACACACACACATATATATATGATTTACTATTCATAGAAATTTAATTAAAATATAATCAACAATTAAACTAATTATATAATGATTTTAATAAAATGATAATTAAAGAATAGGAAAAAGATATCATAGATAATTAGATATAGGTGTATGATAATAATGATAGAATTATGAAAGTTTTAGAATTAAATAATAATGGTGTTATAACGGTATAAGGGTATTTTAGTCTAACAATAATATAGTAGGGATAATTTTGTCTATTACAATTGAAGTTTACAACATTTAATAAAACAATATATACCTTTATTAACATACAAATGTAAATATTAACACAAATGTGTCTTTAGCGTAATGGGTAAAGCTCTTAACTTCAAATGTGGTGGTTAAAGGGATCAAACCTCACTTAAAACATTTAAGTATATTGTATATATTTATTATATATATATATAAATCGATCGGTTCTTCGGTTCGATTCGGGTTTTAACCGAACCGATCGGGTTATAAGTATATTGTATATATTTATTTTATATATATATATATATATATATATATATATATATATATATATAAATCGATCGGTTCTTCGGTTCGATTCGGGTTTTAACCGAACTGATCGGGTTACTCAAACCGAGTACCGATCGGTACTTCGGTTTGGGACCGAACCGAAGCACTTCGGTTCGGTTTGGTTCGAATAAACCAAACCAAAATGTCCAGCCCTAGCAAGTTACTTCATTCAAATGGGGATAGAACACCTCATGCTTATTATTAAGGGACATGATACAAAACCACCATGCCAACCATGTTGATTATGTATATTATTATTATTATGTAGTATACAAAACAAAAGGCTTCCCCAAATTTGACAAAAAGGTTATGAAAGTGGGAGTCCTAGATAACCAGCGGCTGACTTGGCCATAATAGCCGCGAATTCCGTTAAGTCGATAACGCCGTCACCGTCAGTGTCGGCCTCCCGGATCATCTCCGTTAGCTCACGGTAAGACAACGGCTGCCCCATTTTGGCCGTCGGAATCCATGTCGAATCTCGAGAATATATCTCTCAATTCCTCCCGCTGATCCACAGACGACATCTCAATCTAACTCGATCAAACAATAATCCTCACTCTCATCTCATCTCATTGTGCCAATGTATATGTATAGTATAATGAACTTACTGGTTATGTTATTTAGGATGGCTGGTATGAAACCAGTTTAGTTGCACACTATTCTTGAATGACATTTAAATTTTAACACCTGGAAATTTAGGCTACCTACAAGTACGTATATTGGTATATATATGGATTTTAATCCAAATATTATTAAGGCATAAATGAATATCATATCAAAATTTAAAGGAGATCGAAATTAAAGCATGGAAGGTACAAATTAAACTAAAATTTATATTCCAAATTAAAACTTCTGTATACTATCTATCAATCATTATTACAAGTTTCATGAATTACATTAGAAATACTAGAAAGTTTAGTCCAAATACATTGAACTATTCCCCTTGTATTATAATAATCTTTACTTGAAAAACTTTGTGGAAAATTACGCCACTTCTTTGTTGCAAGGCAATAAAATACTCCTTTGCCATCATAAAACTTTGGAAAATATATCTTGTTACTAGTTCCTCGAGCAGTTGCTTCTCGTGATAAGGATATCTTGGGAGAAACGTAAAAGGTTTTTCCTTTCAAATTCTCAACCTTTTGCCAAACCATTTTAGAATCAAGCTTCAAAACCCGAACTTCCCCTTCCTCAAGTGTTGCCACACACATGAGATCTCCATCGCTTTCCAAAAGGAATCGATCTCGGAATTTTATAAATTGTTGTCGATGTGACTTACCAATGATATTCCAATAAAAGTAGTCCCCTTTCGGATAGTAGAGCATCCCTAGATTTCCAGAATCCCCCAGAATATAGATATATCCATTGCGAATAATTGGGGTGCAACTAGAAGCTATAAAATCTATATTATTTTCTAATTGGGATGTAATTGACCATGATTCTTCACCCAAATTCAATTTTCCTATAGTAATAAATTGTGGTAAAGTACTAAGTATACCAATAATTTGACAATTAGGAGAAGTTGGTGATTCAGAAAAACACACTAATGAAAATGGCCTATCTGGTGTGTCCGGTACGTCTATTGTAACCTTGGTTAAGGGATTGAAGAAGAAATAAGATGCAGCGCCTTTACCAAGAAGCAACCAACCATGATTTGCATAAAAAAGTTCGACTTCACCAATATCATCATCCAACAACTGAGGAATGTTAAGTGAATAGTTGATATTGCGAGTTGGATCATAAAAATTGAACAAACGAGTTTTTTTGTTCAAGTACATTAGATGCAGATCTTCATACGAATCTATATCACATGGTGATGCATGTTCGAGTGAGATTGGCAACAAGGGACGAGGCAATGGTGTAATTGACTTCCAAGATCTACATACGAATTGAAAAGTATAATAATCCCCAATAGCTAAACGTGTGAGAATACACGATAAGAGCTCTTCATTTAGATCTGACCATGCCCTTTGTGTAGCAGCTTCTTCATCAACCCTTTGTGTACCAGCTTCTTCCTCAATGCTAGTTATGTTACCAGCTTCTTCCTCAATGCTAGTTATGTTACCGTTACTCATCATGTTCTATATATTAAAAACTCACCAATTATTTCTGCACTTCTCTCTTTGAGCAAACTACTTCACATGCAATACTCTGAAACAAAAGCCTATCAATATAACATCTCTATATATAACAACTAATGAGATTGTTTCCATGGAGGATTAGGATTCTTTAAATTTGCCATGATTAGGATTAGAAAATTCAAATACACTCCAAATACTATTACGTTTAGGATTTAAAAAGTCAAATTATATTTCAAATACGGTGTACCTAAAATCAAGAAAATACTTCAAATCTAATATAGTTTGTCAACACTGACACTGAAAAAGTCATGCAGGTTGCAACTTAGTGTTAAAACATTTTGATAAATTAAAATTTTAAAAATTTGAAATTGATTTTTGAATTTTATGTTGATGATTTTAAATATCAATAACTACCAATTTTCTAAATCATGTTTGCCTCCCACATATTCAAAGAACACAAAAGGCCTCATACTAATTATGGTTTCCTTCTAAATTTTGTACCACGTACTATCAACAATAGTTGAATAGTGAAATCATTGTACGATGAACATCGTTAGAAAAAGACGAATGGTACAATCCTGAGCTTGTATGAGTTGCTCTTTTTCGAGTCAAGAGCTAAACTCTAGAAAATGAGGAAAAAGAATGGTTATGCTTCGAGTGACCACCTAACTTCAAATGACTATGTTTCGAGTGATAATCTAACTCCAGAAAAGAGATATCAAAAAGAGAAATTTCGCCAGACATCCATTAATATATTCTTCACTTATTTCTTCAAATACATGTGTATCTATTTGTACAG